GACGCAAGTAATCACCTGGAGAGACTTGTAGGGACATTTCTAGCGAGCACAGTAACAAAACGAATATTAGAATAAAAAAAACAAATTTAATGAAATGTCATTGAATTAAACTTTCGATTTTCCCGTCGATTAATTGGACCGAAGTGCTCAGTCTCAGGTTGACATGTCGGCTTCTTGTGCAGATGCTTCGACGATGTCTGGGCATTTGTTTAGTATACAATTGGTGGATGGTGGCTAGCAGTGGAATCCAGGACGAAATGCGCATCCTGGATTCCACTGCTAGCCACCATCCACCAATTGTATACAAATCAAATCCCCAGACATCGTCGAAGCATCTGCACAAGAAGCCGACATGTCAACCTGAGACTGAGCACTTCGGTCCAATCAATCGACGGGAAAATCGAAAATTCAATTCAATAATTAATATGACCCGTCGCACAAGAGGTGGCTCTCGTGGCCCAAGTGGTCTAGTGGGTAACGCTTTGGCATTTGAAACTATGGGCACTGGGTTCGAGCCTCAGTGGGAACATCATCACTCACTGAGAAATGCAGGCACATCCAGCTGACGAGTCCCAAATAGGACGAAATGCGCATCCTGGATTCCACTGCTAGCCACCATCCACCGATTGTATATTAATGAAATGTTATGAAAAATACAGTAATGAGTTATAAAAATTAATTGGTTACTTGGTTGTACAGTTAAAGTTCGCAGCTACAAATTAATAATTAATATAATCCACAGAAGCGTTCACTGCTGGAATCGTGTCTGCTAGTAGAAGCTGTGCACCGGTTGTAGAATAGTCTTCGGATGTGGATGACAGGTTCCTGCAAAATCCAAAGTATACAACACGGTCAGCAGTGAAACTACTAGACAGGTGTTAGGTACTGCTGCTGAGTGGGTTATTAGAGTTTTCCCCGTCGCCAATTATGTTATGTACTCGTCGAGTAGTTAATAGTCCTGACACGGAAGGAGGGAAATCAGAAGACCACCAGGTTTACGATGATACTTGTATTTTCCAGACAAGGAAAATAAATGTCACACAAGAGTGTGAGTGAAAGGGTACGAGTGTACGAAAAAGTGTGTAAACACAAGAATCCAGTACAAAAGTATATATGAAAATGGCTAATACACATGAACCAATAAATAGCCAGTCTTAACATGATTGGTTGTAATGTCGTGTGACAACAAGGTCATACATGTTTATTTAGTTAGTGGACAGACAAAAGCATATTGTCAGTTATAATGAAATATCTATCCATATACACATAGCAAAATATAATAGACGGTCACAAACAAAACACACATCATGTGGATACATATCAACAGTATAGACTAGTGAGAAGACAAAGCGTCTGACAGCACAGTGTATTTTAAATTGTACCCCGCAGTTATGTTCATTTCAACATGAATTGTTTTAAACGAAAGTTGTGTACAATGTTTCTATTTTTCACATCTAACAAAAAATGTGCAATCGTATTTCTACAGACTCCACTGACTTAACTCTGTACAATATCCCAAAAGTCTTGTATGTGAGGAATAAAGTTTCAACCAACTTGCAATCCTAGGCATACTTTTGAGTTGGAAGGATGATGGCTCAATGAAGCCTACTTAGACTGGAGAGTACTTAATTTCTACACTTTCTATTCTTTAAAATATAAAACAGGTTTGGTTAAGGGATAATTCAAGAGGATTCAGTGTATTTATACAGTTGGAGTTGTAGATAATGACAATAAAATAATGACAGATACACTTCAAGAAAAGATGTCATTTGAGGTTTGTCAACCGGTGAAAAGGCTGATGTATATTCTTTTCCAAAGAAAGATGTCTTTATCAAATTACCGTACAATAGGGAAATATATATAGTATGATTTTAAGACAGAGATTAAACTGTGTAATCCATAAAACCAATATGCAGTCCAGCTTATAATTATCGAAAAGGTCAAAAACGTGCTCCTCTGAAAGCCTCAGCATTGCACAAGCAATTATATCACATTCCATGCTATATACCAATTTACATGCGTGAGTGTGTGGACACACATACATAAAGGTGAGCAGTGACGCCTAGCACATGATGGTAGGAGAACATATACCCAAATCTTTAGAATGACAGCTGAACCGGGAAACTTCGAAAAACTCAGATAGCAGATTACCGACTTTGGCCATAGAAAAACACTTAACCGATACGTTGGTGGCACGTCGCCAACCACGCCTCATATGATCCGGGGTTCGTTCCCCGCTCAACGAGGCACTCTTCTACCTTGCTAAGCCAGTAATAAGACTGATAAAGAAGGAAGGTTGGACATGAGGCTAGCAACCCTATCTAGTAAAAATAAACACCACAGCTACCGGAACTTCAAGCCTCTAGCTTGACAGTGCCCTATCTTCCACTGGGAACGTAAAACAGTAACATTTTTGTTTAAATATTAAAATAACCGAATGTTGGTTTGCAGGGATCTGATGGATTTCAGGGCTGATCACAAATCATCTTAACTGGAAAACACTAAAAATCATAAAGTACTGGACATGTGTTTCGTCCTGGAATAGAACTCTCCGTCAGGACACACTCATCACCCAACTAGGTATCGAACTTAGGGTTTCTGTCTAGGCAAATTTGTCTCTTAATCAATCAATAGTGAGTATCAGTTAAATTTTCTTCAGTTAGTTGAAAACTGAAAAATAAATCTTTAAAATTAATTTGATTCTCGCTAGGCTGACTGACTACAGGATGAAGGTGACTGAAGTGAGTCCTAGTGAGAAATTGTGATTAGCGGAGTCCACCAGATTAGGTGTGAGGACAAAAGCTCACTGGTGACATTGGCTGGTAGTCGAGCTGTATACGACGAACTGACAGGAGTTAAAATTCATCAACTGGACACTGGATTCCGTTCCATTGGATGAATGGTCAATGAGCTCAGCGAATGACCTGGAACCCATGAGCTTGATTGCTACTAGGTAAGGTGGTGATTGCGCATTGATGAAGTGTCCCAAACTAGGACGAAACGGCTGTCCTACACTTCCTGGCCTTCAATAGTTCTCCAGTCGACATCATTCCCGCAAACTAACTTTTGGATTTGATGGAGAAGATTTGTAGCTCAGGTGGATGATTTTGATGTAGTTGTGTTCTCTGAGCAGCTGGATAGTTAATCTGCGAAGCTTTCATCGCCCTACTAGGCATAATCTTCAGTGTATACTTCTATTTGAAGTATTTGGATACGTTACGTAGATGATACATTTGAAACAGGCAAAAGAAACAATTTGGATAAAACTTACAACTTAATAAACAACGTCTTCAACGACATCAAATTCACAAGAAAAGAGGAATCTGAGAACACAATCGCATTTTTCGACGCCTCAGTGAAGCGAACAACAACAGGAGAATTCGAAATTCAAGTGTATAGAAAATCAACTCACACAGACCAAATCGTGAATTACAACGCAACAATCCAATAACACACAAATAGAATTGTATACAAACACTATTCAAGAGTGCCAAGATTCATTGCAGCACTTCTACCTTAAGTAAAATTGAAGAAAAATATCTCATGGACGTCTTCAAAAAGAATGGATATCCACGAAACACACACAAAACACATATATCCCCAAGCAACCTATCAAAACAAAGGTCCCCAAGGAAAGCACAAAGAAAATCGTCCTATCATATATAAAAAACATCTCAGAAATCACTGCAAGACTCTTCAAACCCTAAGGAATTAACGTCGTGCACAAATCAACAAAATCACTTCACTCGGTCAGGCAGCTCTATGTCAATCAAAAGATTCAATAGCGAAAAAAGATAAAACCGATATCATCTACAACAACTGCGAAAAACACTACATTGGCCAAAGTGGACAACGCGCTCTTCGTCTTCTTATCCATGAACATAAGCTAGCCGTCCACTTCCTCATTTCACTACATGCAGACGACCACAGACATCAATTCGACTGGGACAACGTTCAAATATTAGACAGAGGAAACACCAAGAATGCTAGAGAATTTTTAGAAACCTGCCTTACATTCCAGTGAATCGTCAATCAATAGACACATCAACATAGACAAAATTTACCAACCGATAAGAAGGAAATCTCATGCACAGAGAGTCAAACTTCAGGTCAAGAAACAATCGGTTCCTATACAAGTACCATAGAGGGTGTGAAAACACGCAAAGACAACCAATCAAATCCAAGGTGGTCACCAAGACAAATGACTAATAGTGAACTCGTGGAGAAGTCTAAACACTCACTTTATCAAATTGAAGTATACGGTAAATATGTTGCCTGGTTAGGGCAGTGAAAGCTTCGAAAATAATCTGTCCAGCTAATTCCTGATAGCGAAAATATTTATTCTACTATTTCTACTGTTTTCTATTATACAATTTGAAATGATTGATCTTAAACCACACAACAACAGGGTCATTCAATGAGTCAGTCATTCTTACCTAGAAAGGCTTGAAAGCCAGACAAAACAAAAAAGTCAAGTCAAATTTATGCAGATACCGATAGCTATATTATTTTCGAGTGGACAAATACTCTTGAAATAAAATATTTCGAAGATTTATTTTTCGTTATAACGAACCGAAAATGAAAAAAAAATTCAGCAAAACAAAACAAGCAAACAAAAATGTGAACCTGTTCTTACTCATCTTACTATCTCAATCCAAGGGCAGGTATTTTTTTGTATTTTGAGAACCCATCAGAAAATGCGCACAAAAAATAATCAAGATCCTGAATAAATGAAAAAAAACCAAAGAAAAGATGAATAAAAACGCACATGTGCAGAGGTAGAAACAGATAGAGAACCAAATTTATTCAAGACATATATATATATATATCGATTTGAGAATGTGTTATGTTTGTATTTTTAAAAATTGAACATTGAAACATTCAAACTTGCGCTACACGTATTGAACACATTTAACTCAAGCATAGTCTATAATAGGCGAAAAAAAGGTACCCTGTGTTGAAATTAATTCCAAAGGAGGAGTAGAAATCACTTTGAACAAATGAAACTAGTTAGATATGTAAGTTTTGTTTGTTTTTGTAATATTTTAACTTTCTTTTCGGTCTTAATTTCAATTAATTCTGAAAATAGTTATAGACAATTAAGCATGTTAGATGACTGGAAGTTGAAGTTCTATCCTCAGTTGATACACTTGTGAAAGCGGCCTAGTGTTTTCGCTTATAACAAAGCGAAATATGTTAAAACAACAATACCTTTTCTTGATAGAGAAAGAAAGAGCAGATTTGCAGGATGAAATGATGCCATCATTCTATTTTACAGGTCCTCATCAGCTGCAAATATCTCATCTGGAATATAAGTATTACAATTTATAGTTTAAGTAACCATCAATTTATATACTATCAGACTATGAAAAAAGAAAAAGAGGGGTGAAGTGAGAGAGGACGGAAAACGAAAAATCTAATAAACAGTGTCAACACGGCAACTCAAGAAGGTCAAAGTTCATGAGTCAGACATCTGCATTATTTGACCGCCTAAATGAGATCCAGCCAAACAGTAAATTCACCATGGAATACGAACACAACGATGAGTTCAATTTCCTGGACCTAAATGTAATAAAAGAAGAAACGATGGAACGGTAGAAAAATCCATCTAAAGAAAAGAAACTTGGACCGGACAATACCTTCACTACAACAGCTTCTGCCCTTTAAGCGGATATTAGTCAGGACACTGTACGACAGGGTTAGGAAGTTATGTTCGCCTAACAAGGCAGAAGAAGAATTAAGCTTTGTTAAAAAATGTATTAAGGAAAACGGGTATCCAAAAGGATTTATCCTAAAGCACAGCAAAGAAAGAGATGAGAAAGAGAAGTATCCAACATTTGAAAAGAAGAAAGTGTCCAACTGAATTTATAAGTTTACGTGTACATGCGGCAGCAAATACATTGCAGGGATAGAAAGAAGGACTTCTATCTGGTCTTCAGAGCATATTCTGAGAGACTTATGCTTATAAGGAAGTAGATATTTATAAAGTGCGATTACCAGACACCTTGTGGATACGGGTCATTTTGTCGAGATTTCTAAATCCTTCAAAACATTAAACATACAAAAGACAGCGAATTTATTACGATTTGCTACTGAAGCAATTGCAGTCAAACATCACAGACTAGACTTATGCATACAGAAAGAGAGTGTAGTCGATCTCTGACTCCCTTGGTCACAGTATTACTTTAATCACACTAATTAGTCAAACACACTAGTAGGCTCAACTCACTAGGCAAGTTGATGAACTTTGACCTTCTTGAGTTGCCGTGTTGACAGTGTTTATTAGATTTGTCTGTTTACCGTCTTCTCTCAGCCCCCCGTCTTTTTTCTTTTTTCATAGTCTGATAGTATATAAATTGATGGTTGCTTAAACTATAAAGTGAAATACTTATATTCCAGATGCGTTCACCCTATAATGTTTTCTCTATTACCTTTCTAACAAGGAAGTATGAAATGTTATTAGTTATAACCATTGTAATTTCAGATAGTCAATGGCAGCTGATGAGAACCTGTGAAATAGAATGATGGCATTATTTTATACTGCAAATCTGTTCTTTCTTTCTCCATCGAAATTTATAAAGGGAAGCAAATGTATGAAATACTATTTTACTGAGACTTAGGAATGGTTGAAGCCATAGGTTCCCCTTGGAATGAAAGGAACTGATGTCACTGACTGTCTCATCAATACACGTTATGCACTGAGCAATACGGACTGCTACTGACATACTCCTGTAGGACTACAATGCGTACATTGATTACTAATTAGTGATCAGTTAGCTTGCGAATAAGTACATTCCATTTAAACGTTTTTATATCCCAAACGTTGAGTGTACAATTCATCAAGAGATAAAATCCAGATATTTCAGGCTGAATAAAAAGTGACCATATTATTATAATAATACTGGTATTATTCCCATGCATTCCAAGAAGAAAATATGACTTCAGCAGCAGATTGACTTTTCACTGTGTTCCTGTGACTGTGCATAACCTACTGTCGTCAGCTTCGCATACGACTTTTTCCATGTTATCCTTAAAGAGACGCCTAATTCATGGTTTTAAATGACAGTATCGCATATAACGTCAATCAGTGTGGTCTCCTCAGCGTCAACCGAATTCATGTCCACTGCCTACTACATATTTATTGAATAATAGGTTGGTTTTTGGTTCATTGTCTGCCGGAGTTCCTTGTTGTTAATACTTCTAGGTTGACTGACTATCTGCATAGTGATAGACCACTATTTCTAAAAACGACTGGACAGCCTGTTTCTGTATAAAAAGTTCAGGGGCTTTTTCCATGTGTTATGTGATAGCTTCCACTGTACAAAGAAGATGAAGCCAAAATCCTTTAGAACAACTTGCCAATACCACCACCATATATGGTGGCACAGTGGTTAGGAATCTCGCCGACCATGCACATGGTCCGAGGTTCGATCCCCTGCCGACACCCACCCGATATCTATAGTCGACTGGCAAAATTTGGGCTACCGATATCACATGCTGAAAATTCTATACTTGTATCAAAAACACAGTGTGGAATCAAGCTGTAATCAAAAAACATATCACTAAAAGATTCCAATATAGCAAAAATATTCATTCACACACCTATAAAACACAAAATAATCGAGCAAAGAATATGCTTTTCGATAAACTCATCTTCCAGCTCTACAACTATATATACATGTGTTTATATACACAGAATATTCCAGATTAGTAGTCAATAACAATATTAGTGCTTTTTAAGTAATATCGATTTGTAAAGTAAGATCACAATGAAATTACAGTTCGTTAGAGATGCTTAAATTATAATAATAATAAAGATATATTACCGAATAGAATATCAACTCAAACTAGGGAAATTCCACAAAAATTGAGGATCATTCGAACATAGGTGGCCAAGGTAAGGATGATGTCTGAATTAACCAGCTTCTTTTGGATGCATAAATTAGGCTTGTTAATATGGATCCCCACAGCCTCAGTAATACTTAGTAGTCGAACTCTTAAGGCGAAATTGAGATTCGTAGGTATTCAGTAAATGACCCTGAAAGCATGGTTAACGTCACTCTTGTATTCTGTATCCACAAGATGAGACAGAGTAGCGCTGCGAATAGATTTTATTTGTCTTTTACTTAACCACTGTGCATGGGTGATGTTCGGAAATTCAATGAGAAACACGCCTAATTGTACGGCCTACGTCTATCTACCAATTTAACTGCTCTTGTGGAGCCAGTTAGCTGTGCACATTTGGACATATCTTACACGTAAGGCCTATGTACTTAGCTCCACTACAGAAAATGATCTTATACGTGCACACGGCTGTCACCAAGACTGAGGCATTGTCTTTGTTGGATGGAGATGATGAAATGTAGAGACGCTTCGACGAATGCGTCTAGAACTGCTCTCTGTAATCTGCTTCGAGAAGTTCCATCCTTGATTTTCAGGTATACAACTGACTTCTTGGGTGCTTCCGCCCTCTGTAGACTGTCAGCTTGACTTTTCATGCATTTGCTGATAAATACCTGTGGGTAATCATCGTGAATCAAAATGTATCTGATGGACTCCGTGGCCCCCCTCCTCAGTGCGTTTACAACTGATTCCTGTGAGAAGGGAACAAAGTCGTTGAAGTTAATTGGCTAGTCGTTCCATTCTACTTTGTGATGAATTAATCTTTGGATCGATCTACAAGTTTCCCTAGAAAGCTAGACGTTTGTGTGGTATGATTCATTTTCTGCAGTAAACTAATTGACCGGTCAGAATTACTAATAATGTCCATAAATATTAGTTAGTTATTCTAGAGGTGAACAAATATGTAAAATAATGGATACTGAACAAAGAGTACTCTTTTCGATAAATTCATCATCAGGCCCTACATTTATACATACATTATAGTGAATGGATGAGTTGGTGTTATGAACGACATTAATGTTGCTGTTTAAATAACATCGAATCAATAATATTGATAGATTACAGCTGAATCGCATAAACATATAATAAGCTGAGTGTTAGAAAAATTACGAAATATGGTATAATAAATTCAAGAAACACATGATAAAGAAAGCTGAATAGTACTACTCACTATCTGTAAAGAAGAAGCCTCTTTATATACAACTACAATTCAGGGGCGATATACCAAGTGAGATAATTACAAGAAAATTAAGAAAATCAGTTCAAAGAACTTTTAATGCTTGTGAACTACACGTATTATTCTCTACACGACCGAAGGTGCTACTTCGACTGAAAGATGAAGTACTAGACTAGCTAACCACTTCAAATTGTATCTACCAATTCAACTGCACTGCTTGTGGTGAAGCGAGTTATACTGGCCATTGCTCTAGGAACTTGAGTTTTCGTGCTCACTTGAGAACACCTCGCACTATGGCTAAGTAAAGGTGTAGTGAAAACCACTAACAGTTCAATATTGGACCATCTGGTGCAAACAGGCGTGGAAGAATCCCCTTCTGTAATATACCGAGTGCTTAATAAATTTCCAAAGTCATTGAAGCACCGCATGCTCCAAACGGCAAAGGCCATTGCAATTCGTCTCAAACAACCAGTGCTCTGTGTTCAAAAGAAGCAAGTCCAGCCAGCCCCTAATACTGCCCTGGCCAGCCTTCAGTGGAGACTATAAATTCATGAATTTGTATTATAACCTTTCCTAATTTTTCTGACATTCAGCTTATTTTAAGTTGGTGCTACTGAGAGGTAATCTATCGATATTATTGATTCGATATTATTTAAACAGCAACATTAATGTTGTTCATAACACTAATTCATTCATTCAATATAATGTATATATAGTGTAGAGCCTGATGATGAATTTATCGAAAAGAGTACTCTTTGTTCAGTATCCATACTTTTGAAAATTTTAAGGGTCAATTTTAATCAGCTAAATCTGTAAAAGCTCTATGTATGTGTGTAATACTATTCGTCATATTAAAAATATCACCTTTCTGAAAGCAAAAAGAATTCTGTGTCTTATCATGAACACACTTCGATCAGAGAACCATGAAAACCAAAGAGT